ACAATAAGTGCATTCGATATGAACAAACTACCGCAGGTACTCTTATTACTTTAATTCATTGAAAGTCAAAATGCCAAAGAGTATCTACAAAACCTTTATGAAAAATTATAGTCATTAAATCAGAATATGTGAATATGGCTTTATAAAAGAGTTTTCTTCAATGAAATGGTAAGTTTAATCCTCTTAAGAGGTGCATAAGAAATTAATCTTTCTAAGGGCGGCGTTTCCATAAGTACAGGAAAAGGCCAAAATTGCACATTACCATCTTGTAATTAACAACTTAGAATATCTAGCCGCATGCACATGATAAATCAAGAATGAATAGAGATCAACAAGATTACCATCTCACTAATTTGTTTGATTTTATCTTCATATGATCTTTCATTTCCGCCTTCAGCTCTGTAACTTCTTGTTTGAATATCTCTTTAGGGAATCAACCTCCACTTGGTTCATGATGTTTCATAGCCTCCTTCTGTATATCAAATAGAGACAATTCACGACATATTTAATGTGAACTGCATGGGTCAAAAAAAAAAAAAAAAAAAAATGTGAACAAACTCACCTTCACTTCAGCAAATATTTCATCTGTATATGGTTGTCCACCATTCTGCGCTATGACCCTGTTAACAAGGGACAGAAGCTCTCCAACTTGTTTAGATCTTTTGGTTTCATCCTTAGTCTTGTTATCAAAAAGCACTCGCCGATTTTCACTCAAAGCAAGAATATCCTGAGACAATGTTAATATAAATTTGAAAAATAGCTTATATTAACCTTTTTACAGGATTAATGAACATTTTAAGAATCGTAAAGCTTGAAGATGTTCAGCCTAGTATATATATGCTAACCAAATAAAATAGTTTGAAAACAATATTTTTCTTAAGTTAACAACACTGCTAATAATCAAACTTAAGTTAAAAAGGAAACCTTTAAAGCATCTGGACATTCGCGACTTAAATACTCTTCCAATGTTTCCTCATTTTCTTCAAGTTCATCCCCACCGGTGAAGACTACAATCATGTAGTTTGCAATTTTTCTTCCAAACAAAGACTGCAAGGTAAGTATTGCAGCTTGTTCTTCTTGTGTAAAACGGTTTCTCACTGACAAAACTAAAAGGATTGCATGGATACCATCCTTGGCCAATTCAATACATTTGACAATTTCTTTCACAACAAATTCAGGGTCAGCAGAAAAATCAAAGATTCCTGCAATGACTCACCACATTAGTTTATTTGATGAACAAATTTCAAATGCAAGATAAAAGTTGTAAACTGTACAATCAGATCCAAGTTACCATACCAGGAGTATCAATAACATTAATGATCTGGCCATCTTTGAGTTCAGTTTTCTGCAATTCAGTAGTTTTAGTAACACCAGATGAACCAGCCCTGGACTTAAAAGCCCTTCTTCCAAGAATGCTATTCCCGGTGGCACTTTTTCCATTGCCAGTACGCCCAACTAAAACCACATTCCGTTCTCCACTGGCCACAGACCGTTCGCCACTGGATAGGGAAGGGAGCTCCATACCATCAATTATCACAACATCCATCACACTTCCATCCATTATGTAAAGATTAAATTACTTCACTTGCAATCCAAAAAACATTAAAAACACTTTCGATCAATCATTGCAACCCATGTTTGTTTTAATAATAATAAAAAAAATTGGTGTGTCTGTGAGATTACTTACTTGAGTGTCTGAGGCGAGGGAGAGAGACAGGGAGAAGATATAGAGTTTGCGTGAGAGACTGAGAATTTATAAAGTCATAAATAGAAAAGAGAAGGTGGAATTTTTTTACATTAAGTTACTTGGAGTGATTGCAGACCATGAAGTTGCTTGGATACCCAAACCAAAACTAAACTTAAAAAAGCAACAATACCAAAAACAAAGAACTAAATATAAAGCATATGATATGCCTAACTATAAACTCAAGCATACTTCCATATAAGATTCGATTCTTTAATATTTTACAAGCTCTTAACCTAAATGTCATTATATATTTTTGAGTCGAGGTTGAAAATGTATTTAATAATAACATTTAAAAGTTATATTCATAATGAATAGTTAGGAAAAACAAAAAGAACCGTATTTTACATTCAAATTTTAATTGATAATTTTAACAATATATCCCTTATTTAAATTAAAAAAAAAAATTATTGCATAAGATGAATGGTATTTTTATTATAAGTCTAAAAGTGTGTTTACTTTTGTTTCATTATTTCATTTCATTAAATTACTGTTGAACTTCAAACTTTTTCTGATGTTAATGTTTTTAATCGATATAAAGGCTTATTAATTAACTATCATTCCGTACTTCTTTTCTTTTTCTTTTCATCTTTACTCTATTGCGATGCCAATAATTGATTACTTGTAGAACCCAATCATGTGAAAAAAAAAAAAGAAAGTATAAAGATAGATTTTGTTATTTCCTTTGGCCTCCCTTAGTTTTTAACTTAACAGTTTGGTCCCCATACAATGCATGTAATTCCTAATCTTTGGCCATTTCATTCATATAGCATTACATTTTGGTCTCCTAGAATACATTTTCTGGCTCTGCCTTGTGTTAATTAGAAGCCACCCAAAGTATTTTCAGTTTTATTTCATAGGTTTACCTTGAATCTATTCTATTCTTTTGTTCTTTCTCAACTATATATTATCCTAATTTAGAGTTCACACGCTCACCTCAAAATTCTTTTTCCTTTGATCTCAAAACACTTTTTATTCACCCCAAATCAAAAGATGGCTAAAGTTAAGGTTGCCACCCTTTTCATGATACTTCTTCTCGTAGTCTTCTCAACCCTTACGTATGCTACCCGTCTAGAACTGACCTTTCCTGACGATGCTCCAACAAAAACACAATTGGTTGGTCATTTTTTTTTAATGTTTATTGAAAACTAAGTATTTATCATGTTGATTTATTTATAGTTTTGGGATTTTGATAGGATACCAATGTGGCGCATATCGATTGCGAAGGAGTTTAAGAGAAAATGTGCTTGATGAGAAGAACCGCATTGCTCATACCGACTATATCTATTCCTATTGTGTCCCCCCTTTTTTTATAGTTCCTCTTCTTTGATCTACCTTACCATGAGACTTCCCCATCACTGCCTAATTTATCTTTCATTCTATTCTCACTATCCTTAGCTGTAATGGCTTCTACAATTTCTTCTAATTTTAGAGTCCGCCTACCATATTTTAAGGTTTCCACAAAATTAGAGTAGGGTTTTGGTAGGGAATTTAGAAGGATTACAGCCTGGTCTTCATCATCAATCTCTACTGATATGCTTTCTAAATCTTGTATAATTTTCAAAAATTCATCCTTATTGTCTTTTAAAGTTTTATGCTCATCCATTTTAAATCCAAAAAATCTTTGTTTTAAAAATAGTCTATTAGGGACAGCTTTAGATTGATATTGAGTGTCTAACCTGTTCTAGATTTCAGCAGCAGTTTTCTCCTTTTTCACTTCTCGAAGGACTTTGTCACCTAGTCCTAAGATCAAGGAGCTTTTAGCTTTTTTGAGAACATCCTACTTCTCAACTTCAGTCATGGTGTCAGGCAATCTAGATTCCCCTTTCAATGCTAAGGCTAGTCCTTCTTTAATTAGCATAGCTTTCATTTTCATCTTCTAGAGTCCAAAATCATTGTCCCCTATAAACTTTTCGAGTTCAAATTTAGTAGACATGTTTTGGTACAAAATTTGTAACGATAGAAACACAGAAATCAAAGATAACCCTAATTAGTTTTTGATCCAAGCTTTGATACCAATTTGTAATAACAAATACAGTTATTAATGAAGCTGATTTCAATCAAAGCAATGAATGAGCAAACTCAACAATCAACTTATACAAATTAATAAGCTATCAATTTAGAGATGAATTAAAACAGGAATGAGCTGAATGAATAATTGACATAGAGGGATTTATAGTGGTTTGCCTAAGGCAGCCTACATCCACTCTTCAAGGCACACATTAGGGTATTTCATTCATCATAAGAACAAGATGTTAGTAAACGGTCCCGTATACGCAGCGGAAACAAAAAAAATAATTCAGGGATCGTTTACATGAGCCAAGATCAAGGGTATAATTTTACAATTCATATTAAATAAAATCTGCAGGAGAAATAAATCTGAGTTTAAAGAAAACAAACGCACGTTGGAGGCTCCTCCAAATTTGTTGACGAATGTTTTGCTACCGATCCAAGTGTAGGATCAAACTTGCATAGTCCACACGAAGACAATCTCAAAAAGAACCAAAGAGGGATTTGCTAGATCTTCTTTGGCTTCAAGATTAAGAAGAAAGCAAATCAATATACTTTTTTTTTTTTCACATGATTGGGTTCTACAAGTAATCAATTATTCGCATCGCAATAGAGTAAAGATGAAAAGAAAAAGAATAAAAGTACAGAATGATAGTTAATTAATAAGCTTTTATATCGATTAAAAAACATTAACATCAGAAAAAGTTTGAAGTTCAATAGTAATTTAATGAAATGAAATAATAAAACAAAAGTAAACACACTTTCAGACTTATAATACCAATACCATTCATCTAATGCAATCATTTTTTTATTTAAATAAGGGATATATTGTTAAAATTATCAATTAAAATTTGAGTTTAAAATACGGTTCTTTTTGTTTTTCCTATCTATTCATTATGAATATAACTTTTAAATGTTATTATTAAATACATTTTCAACCTCAACTCAAAAATATATAATGACATTTAAGTTAAGAACGTGTAAAATATTAAAGAATCGAATCTCATATGGAACTATGCTTGAGTTTATAGTTAGGCATATCATATGCTTTATATTTAGTTCTTAACTTTGTTTTTGGTATTGTTGCGTTTTTAAGTTTAGTTTTGGTTTGGGTATCCAAGCAAGTTCATGTTCTGCAATCACTCCCAAGTAACTTAATGCAAAAAAATTCCACCTTTTCTTTCCTATTTATGACCTTATAAATTCTCAGTCTCTCACGCAAACTCTATATCTTCTCACTGTCTCTCTCCCTCGCCTCAGACACTCAAGTAAGTAATCTCACAGACAGACCAATTTTTTTTTTTATTATTATTAAAACAAACATGGGTTGCAATGATTGATCGAAAGTGTTTTTAATGTTTTTTGGATTGCAGGTGAAGTAATTTAATCTTTACATAATGGATGGAAGTGTGATGGATGCTGTGATAAATAATGGTATGGAGCTCCCTTCCCTATCCAGTGAAAGGTCTGTGGCCAGTGGAGAACGGACTGTGGTTTTAGTTGGGCGTACTGGCAATGGAAAGAGTTCCACCGGGAATAGCATTCTTGGAAAAAAGGCTTTTAAGTCCAAGGCTAGTTCATCTGGTGTTACTAAAACTACTGAATTGCAGAAAACTGAACTCAAAGATGGCCCGATCATTAATGTTATTGATACTCCTGGTATGGTAACTTGGATTTGATTGTACAGTTTACAACTTTTATCTTGTATTTGAATTTTGTTCATCAAATAAACTAATGTGGTGAGTCATTGCAGGACTCTTTGATTTGTCTGCTGACTCTGAATTTGCTGTGAAAGAAATTGTCAAATGTATTAAATTGGCCAAGGATGGTATCCATGCAATCCTTTTAGTTTTGTCAGTGGGAAACCGTTTTACACAAGAAGAAAAAGATGCAGTACTTACCTTGCAGTCTTTGTTTGGAAGAAAAATTGTAAACTACATGATTGTAGTCTTCACCGGTGGGGACGAACTTGAAGAAAATGAGGAAACATTGGAAGAGTATTTGGGTCGCGAATGTCCAGATTCTTTAAAGGTTTCTTTTTTAACTTAAGCTTTATTTATTAGCCGTGTTGGTAACTTGAGAAAAATATTGTTTTCGAACTATTTTATTTGGTTAGCATATATATGCTAGGCTGAACATCTTCAAGCTTTACGATTCTTAAAATGTTCATTAATCCTGTAAAAAGGTTAATATAAGTTATTTTTCAAATTTATATTAACATTGTCTCAAGATATTCTTGCTTTGTGTGAAAATCGGCGAGTGCTTTTTGATAACAAGACTAAGGATGAAACCAAAAGAGCTAAACAAGTTGGAGAGCTTCTATCCCTTGTTAACAGGGTCATAGTGCAGAATGGTGGACAACCATACACAGATGAAATATTTGCTGAAGTGAAGGTGAGTTTGTTCACGATTTTTTTTTTTTTTTTTTTGACTCATGCAGTTCACATTAAATATGTCATGAAATGTCTTTATTTGATATACAGAAGGTGGAAATAGAAAGATCATATGAAGATCAACTCAAACGAACTAGTGAGATGGTAATCTTGTTGATCTATGTTCATTTCTTGATTTATCATGTGCATTTGCGGTAAGATATTCTAAGTTGTATAATTGCAAGTTGGTAAAGGTGCAATTGTGGCTTTTCCCTGTACTTATAGAGAACACCGCCCTCAGAAAAATTAAATTTCTTATGCACCTCTTAAGAGGCTTTAACTTACCATTTCATTGAAGAAAACTCTTTTATAAAGCCATATTTTCACATATTCTGATTTAATGACTATAATTTTTCATAAAGGTTTTGTAGATACTCTTTTGCATTTTGACTTTCAATGAATTAAGAAGTAATATGAGTTCGGAGTACCTGGGGTAGTTTGTTCATATCGAATTGCACCTTTATTGTCAAGCATTTTTGTACTGTATTTCTTGTTTTATTACTATTATTTCCCCTTTCCGCTGGTCTAAAATTATAGCACGCCTTGGAATGATATTGGTAATCAATTAGATCCTATGTAAACATATATTCTTATATGATTAACAATGGTTGTAGGATTTCAGGGGTCCTCCAACTGTATCAAATTTAGGGATGCCATTTTACTTGGGAATTGTCACCAGTTGATAAATTTGGCAATGTTTTAGCTAATGTTTTATCTTTTTCATTCATAAATAATATCGAGCAGTATTTGTATTATATTGTTATTCTAAGGCTTAATGGTCCACGTTGATGTTTTTAATAGCTTGAGTTGAAGCTCACAGCGATAACTAGAAAGCTTGAAAAGGAATTGTTGGAGGAACGAGTTGCCCGATTAAATTCAGAATTGAACGCAAAAGACGCTGGAATGAAATCAAACGACGAAATTCGTAAACTTAAAAAGGATCTTAAGAAAGCGAATAAGGAGATTGAGAGGCTCCGTAATAAAGATGACGGAGGGTGTGCTATTCTTTGAACAATCTCAATCATTTGTGAGCACAGTATGTGCAGTCGCGTGAAGAACACCTAAGATTGTTTTATCTTTTCGCTGTTTTTCTTACCCTGATGTCAATATGTTCATACTGCAAATATAATATATTCATATATAAATCTTATCTTTTACTCTCTATAATGTAAATTTTCAGAGTGCTAGCTTGAATCGCAGTTGAAACTTATATTAATATTATCCGCCCGATATATTGTTATACAATAAAGTCAGACGTACAAAGTATCTGGCATGTACCATGTGGGCCACTGTACTAATCCCCAAAAATAGAAATAAAAAATTTCGAAACCAAAATTTCCCCAAATTGGATAAATCATATTCTATCGCAACCCAAACCACCAAAATTTCTAATTCCCCTAATCAAATCTCTCTCTATCAAAATTCCAGCCGGCCAACACCAACCACGTCGCCCAAACTGATATTTTGATCGACGATTTTTTTTTTTTTTTTTTTTTTTGGTTGAAGATTATGCTACTAGTTTTACTATTTGTGGTGGTATTCAAATTAGATCTCAAAAGGTATATTTAATCTCATTTTCCTCTTTGATTTACAGTTATTAAATTAATTTTTAATGGGTTTAAAGAATTGACGAAACTCTAAATTATAGAGATTTAAGGATTTGATTTAATTTTAATAAATTGGTTAATTGTTTGATATTTAGAGGATTTGATGAGTTTTTATTGGTTTATGAATTGAATTTTATCGGGTTAATACAAATTGTTTGGAAAGCCGAAGTTATAAGATTTCGGGTTTCGATTTATACTTAATATTTTGACTCCAACTAAAAATATCTCTGAATATATATCTGCTATTTTCTAATTGTTGAGCGCTATAAATGTGTTATTTTCTCATTAATTATTTGTTTCTAGAAAGATGCGGTTCGAGAATTTTCTTTATGATATTTTCTTCTATATAGAAATGACAGTAATTGTTCTGCTTGGTTTTGAATTTACAATAAACTATTTTCTTTTGCTTGGGATTGATTTGTACTTGGTGAAATTTTTTGTTCGTCGAGTGTATTGATGATGTTAAGCTTACTGGTGGCTACAGAATTTAACGTTACCCTGTTATAGTTTCTGTCTAGCCCTTGGCATTTGAAATGTACGTTCGATGAAGTAGTTGATAATTTAAAACCTTCATTCTCCATGCTGAAACTGAAACTTCTTCCAGCAAGTGTACACCTTTGGGGAAAGCTTTGCCAAAAAAAACAAGGTCCCCTGTTTTCCTCTATTCTGTTTTCACAAAGGCCTCACAAATTTCTCCCATCCACATCTTTCGTTATTAAAATATCCAGTCCAATTTTGAACATCTTCATGGTACTTTTGCCTTTTGCAATGACTGGAATAACTCTCTAAATTAGATGGGAAAATTTTACTACTTAAACTACTATATTTTCCTATTCTAATAACTGGAATATTGGTAATCAAGGCAAATTAAAATGGTATGTGCTAAATCTCAATCCATACACATTCATGAACAACAACTGGCAAATCATTTTTGATGCATATTCTTTCCTTCAAATTTTTAAGCAATTTTTTTTTTTTTTTTTTTTTAATCTGACTTGAAGACATTAAATTCCTTTCTTTCTCCAGTTGCCATTGAGAACATTGACCTGCTTTGCCCTTAAGGCACTTGTTTTTATTAATATGCTTAAAGATGGACATTGAAAACAAAATGACAAGTTATCTACTTCTAATATTATCAGTAATTCTAGTCTGGTCGCGTAATTGTAAAATTGCTCTTTTCGTTACTTGGTTAACTGACGATTGTTTTCTTCTATTGCCCATGAATAGATGCAGAATCTGAGTCTGTGAGAATTGTAACAGTGAATCATCTTCCCATTACTGTTTTCTTATTGCTGGGTGCTGGGAATATGTTGTATTTTCTTAATTAATTGCTTGTGTTTCGGAGGAAGACGCAATTCCAGGATTCGGATTTCTATATGATATATTCTCCTGCTTGAACATGATAGTAACCATTCTGCTTGGTTGTGAATTTATATAAGTTCTTACCTTTCTCTTAGGATTGTGTTATACTTGGTGAATTTTTTTTATTTTGTTGAGTGTATTGATAATGTGAAGCTTGCCAGTGGTTACAACCTGCAGAATTTAACTTCACCTCAGTACAGTTCACCAAGCCCTTGGTATAAGATCTCAGTGTTAAACATTAGGCTGTTTTGATCACCAATGACTCATGGAGGTAAGATGAATAGAAGGGAGAATATGGGGAAACACCAAGGCATGCGGCTGATTCAACGTTAGAGCATCATGGGTTGCTTTTGATTTTAACTATTTTATTCATCAAAATATAGTTAAAATGCCTGCCACAAATAGCTACACCAAGTCTTGCTAAAATTAAAAGAGGAACTGGGTTTTCAACAACAGTTGAAACCAAGTAACTGTGCTCTTTAATGAGCAAGCAAGAGATTTAAAAAATTTTATGTTTCGTCAATCACAACCTAACATATTGTTAAAATTAAACAAAGATAATAATTCATAAATATTCTTCAATTAGATAGATCGATATATATATATATAACGTTAGCTCGAGTGATTTATGCATGTATCCACACTTGATGTCCCATCAAATAGAAACGGTTTGCACATGTATCAATAATTTATCTCCTCTCAAACACAAGTGATTTGCACATGAATAGACAATTTATCTCCCGTCAAACACAATTAAATACCATTTTTACAGTAAAACAAAGTTGATGACCTTAATTATGAAAATTATTATCTAGGGTAAACCTTTTTAAAGTACACAAAAAAGTAATAATTGTAAAAATGCAAATATAAAGGATAATTTGAGGAAAGATCCCTTTAACTTTGAAAATGCACTGATAAAATCTGAACCAAATCAAATTTGAACGTTTCATTGACCCACCAGTCACAGATATTGAATTAGAAGATTGATATATTATAGAAAATTCAAAATATTTTTATCCCTCAGATAATTTGTTTGATGAGCAAGTTCTATCAAATAAGGACATCACGTTTTTGTCCTTAGAAAATTCAGTGTGAGGCTTTTCCAAGTAGAAGAAGGAGTGTTTTAGGAGAATGTGGGATCTCAATCCTCTTTTGGATTGTCCTTACACTTAGATTCTCTATTTAGTTATGATTTTACTTCCTTATTTTGAGAATATCTCCAAGATAGTTTGTTTGGTGGGCAAGTTATTTATGTTATTTGATATGGCCAAATTCTAGGTTAGATCAAGTTGAATTGTCGAAACCTTTGAGTGAGTAGGAGACCAGGTTCCATCTATAAAATAACCTTGGAGATCGTACCATAAGCATTGAGTTAATAAGGAAAAAAAACACAGATCAAGAAAGAGTTGAGTTGAATTAAGTGACAGATGGGTTCTGTGTTGCGTTCAGAAAATGTTCGTCCTCATGCAATTTGTTTTCCATTCACAGGTCAATGCCACGTACTTCCGATGCTTAAACTAGCAAAGCTTTTGCACTACAGAGGCTTCCACATCACCTTTGTAAACACAGAGTTTACCCATAGTGTTCTACTAAGAACCCAAGGCCCTGACTCTCTCAATGGCATCTCCACTTTCCGTTCGAGACCATCCCTGATGGCGCATCCCTTCATCTGATATTCAGTATAAACTTAACTCTACCTCTCTCAGTGCTTCAATAAAGAAATCTTGCTTGGCTCCCTTTAAAGATCTTCTATCTCAACTCAACAAAACATCTAAGTCAAACGTTCCTCCAGTCACTTGCATAGTATCTGATTACATTATGAGCTTCACTCTTAAAGCTGCTCAAGAGCTAATATTCCCAACGTTCTTCATGGACAGCCAGTGCTTGTGGCTTCATGGGTTACACGCAGTTTCGAAATTTAAAAGAAAAGGGTCTGTTCCCTCTCGAAGGTAATAAACGTAAAATATTTCTTTCATTGTTTGTAGTTTAAAAAATTTTTGTGCTAATTTTACTTTTTCTTTTTGATTTGCAGATCCCAATTACTTGGCAAATGGGTTTCTGGATACCACAATTGATTGTGTGATGACATGGCTTGCAAATTGCCACACTGGAGTCAAAAGGAGTCAAAGCATTTTTGAAGAATTGTTTCTACTAGCCTATTCAATGTCGTTTTGGTTTTTAGCTTAAGTGACCTATCGTGGCACTTGATCCTTATTTCACTATAACCACCTTGCCCCTTCTCAGCTCACTTCTCTCTCGATTGTTCCTTCTTGTAGTTGCTTTTCTTTAATTTCTCTGTAATCTTGTGTTAGAGTAGATGCCCTAGAGCCAATTAATTATTGTAGAATTGACTCTTTATAATAATGTTCATTAATCAATAAAATGCATTTTATTCTATACCGCGTAAATCATTATTATTGCAATATATATTGATATATGTCCTTAGAATGGTAGAACCGTGACGAGGGTATCAAGTGTTTCAAATCTTGATAGTGAGAACCCTATGAGTATATATAGTGGTCATTCTAGAAACATCGTAGCCCTAGTATTATTCTGAAGTAAGGGCATAGATAATACGGTAAGACTATCATAGTGTTGAACGACCCTGTCGAAAGGCAGTGACTGATCTCACTTGTCAAGGTTGTTTGGTGACNCTAACATCAACTAAAGATTGAATTAAATGCAATGAATGAATCTAGAACATAATAGGATAGATCAAACAAATAGATTAACAATAAAACACAAGCTTCAATTAGATTACATCAAATCTCTAGAAAACAAAATACAACATAAAGGAAAAGAAACAACAACACCTAGAACCATAATCATGAAGAATAAAAGAGGAGGAGAGGAAGAGAACCTTCTCTCCTCTCCAATCTCCACCTTTCCAAGAAGCCCCAAATGTATACTTTCCCTAAAATGTGTATGTAAAACCTATAACTCCCTAAAAATGGACTAAAACTGCCTTTATTTAGTTTTTAGACAAAATGGCAAACTTGTAAATACTAGTTGCCGAAATTAGGGTTGGAAATGTGACATTTTTACATTCTGTGCGATTTGTGCCTCTGCTCACTTTAATTGCACCCTGGCTCGTTTACATCGCAACTCAGTTTATTTGCACCCCGACACGTTTACGTCATGGCTTAATTTAATTGAGTCGTGATGCAAAGTCGAAATTTCAAACTTTTACT